TATATATATATATATATATATATATATATATTAAAATATATATTTATTAAATTATATTTATATTTAAAATTTTTTTAATAAATATATTTTTATAATATATTTATATAATAATATATAATATAATGTATATTGTATATAAACGATATAATAATATATTAATTAATATATATTAAATTATTGGAAAATATATTTATTAAATAATAATATATAATATTTAATAAATATATTTTTAATATATATATTTATAAGCATTAATTAATATTTTTAATTTAAATGGATATAAAATGAATGAAAAATAAATGAATAAAATATTAATTATTTAGGTATCGTGAGGTAGGGCTACGAGGAACGCAATGTCAACGGCTGTAAGGGAGAGAACTAGCACTCACACCAGCAGAAAAATTGTGAGTCATGGTGGTCCTATATCTAACCAAAGCCACAGCTCAGTCACGGCCGGTAGCCTCGAAAATAATTTAGGTAAATATATTTTCAACGTATATGTACACACACACATACACACCTATCAATATAATTTTATTTATAAGATTTTTGATATATAGCATTAAGATCTTTATTGTCTATCTTGATGTTTTACTCTTATTTAAACCACCACTATATACTACCACCATCATCATCATCATCGTCATCGTCATCTTTGTCATCGTCGTCATCCGCCTTTCTAATCTCGTAGCATTAGTGTTGGGTACCCAATAATAGCAACGCTCGACATTTTATTCTCGTCTCGTTTACTTTTGTCATCCCACATGATTTTTCCTTTCTTCTTCGTTTTAATTCCTTAGAAAATAATATTTAATCAATCCTAATGCACTTCTTCGTTTCACAAGCAATAATCTTTTCATTAATGTTAATAAATATATGTATACAATATTAGTCATTTGAAACAAAACAAAGAATAGTATCATTTATATTTTTTATTTTTATAAAAATTATACGAAGAACATTAACCCCTTAAGTAGCAATGATTTTGAAAAAAAAAACGGCCAGAAAAAATCTTTCTTTTTTTGCATAAAGACATAGTTTAGAACATTGTTTTGACAAAAAAAAAATTTTTTTAAAATACAGAAATAATCAATATTTCTATGTTAATTTTGGATTTTATTCCACATTACAGAGAAGAGCCGAATATTGCAATGTTACACGTACATCGACTTTTTAATCTTGCTTTTCGAATTACTATTTCGGAAAAAAACATTTTTCGAAAAAAAAGACGATTCTTTTTCTTTGCTTTCAAATTATTATTTTCCATTTTCTATTATATTTTAGTGTAAAAAATCATAGAAATATAAAATAATACGCCGCTCGAGTTAACTCGAGCGTGCGGAAATCGGCCGTTTTAGTGCGCTCGAGTTAACTCGAACGTGCTGCTTAAGGGGTTAATATTTCTATCTATAAAACAAATTTAAATAATTGTTAACCCATTCTTTTTACATGAATATATTTATATTTGTTTTAAATAAAAATTAACTGTAGATTAACCCTTTACACTCCGCACGACTTTCGACGCTGGGTAGCAGCAGCAACTCCGCGTGACTTCGCGGCAGAAACGGCACATTTACAGACCCTCGTATTATTTAGTATAACTTTGGAACCAAATAACGGATTTTAATGATATCGGACTTATATTAATCTGTAGACATCAAGGAACATATTTACTTAAAGAACTTTTACCAAAAGAACTTATTTACCAAGAGAATGTATGTGTGTAATAACGTTGCAATTGAAAAAAAGCGAGCGCGTTCTATTGTATTTGAAATGTGACACTATTTGATAATATTTCTTTGTACATTATAAATCGCACTATAAAATGCGAGATATGCTCCTATAAAAACCTTTCTTTTACAAATTCTTCTTATCGCTCTTCTCAAGTTTCGCTAAAAAGTTCTCGGACCGTCGTTAGCACGCGTCTCGCATTCTCTTAGAACACAAAACCCGCTAACATTTTTTTTATATATCTTTGTTATTTTACAATATTTTGATTCGATGTCTTGTGCTATTTTAAGAAAAAACATCAGGGAAACATGCATGTCTCAAAAAGCTGTGCTGAAATAACTTAATTCCCCGTAATCACTAATAAACTTTAATGTCTCATACATTGAGACATCGGAGTGATAGGCTAGAATCACGATGTCTCATACGTTGAGACAGCAGAGTGCAAAGGTTTAATATTTAATTTTTCTTCTTGTAACGAAATATTATTTTAATGAATTTAATATCAAGTTCGAAAAAGTTTTCATACGTTTCTCGTAAATTAATCCAATTTCTCTATCTCTGTCTCTCTCTCTCTCTCTCTCTCTCTCTCTGTCTTTCGTTGCATATTAATGTGACACTTTTCGAACAATTTCAGATGCACTTCTCGAGGATCTTCAAACTAGCGTCTCGAGAAGTGCCACTCCAAGTCGAAGTGGAAGAGCACTCTCGCCTCAAGTCGAATATCGTGTGGCTGCAAATCCAACTAGAGTGGTCACCGAAGGCAGGTGAGAATTATATTCACATTAAATAATTATACTAACGTCTTTCTTCCACTTCTCACCCCCTTCACCCACAAAATGCATTGGAATTTGATATCGACGATAACAAAAATATTCACATCTCAAAAAATTCTAAATAACTTTTGAAAAATAAAATAACACATTTGTTCAATAAATTAAATTCAATTAAAAATTATTTCTATACATTTAATGCATGTCCATCTTGTAGTTCATATTTACAATTATATATATATACGTTTCAAATGTAAAATTTGTACCATTTTTAAAAACATGAAACGCATTGAACGATGTAAAAGTGAAAAATAAAAAATATTTATAATAAATATATAGAATTTTGTATAATAAATAATAAAAAATAATATAACGGATTCTTTTAATCGAATAAACCAAAATAATTTTCAGAACTGTATCACCAACACGAACTACTACAACAACCACGGAAAAATATGTGAGTACGGGTCCTAGTGGTGCACCAAGTGGTATACCAGGTTTAGAACTTCTCGATGCAGAACTTCAAAATGTAAGAACATGTAATACATTACAATCAATAATAGTGTTTATCACGTTTGTAAGATCGATTAGGTGTTAAATTATCACACAAAAAAATATAATCCTTAGCCTTCTTCAAGAAATTCTCGTGTAATGATCATTCATTCTAGAACTGAAACATCTCATTATTACGAAATTATATTCAAAGTCTGTAATGTTGGCAGCAAATAAGAAAAAAAAAATCATGAAAGAACAGATAGCAGAAAATATTTATCGCGTACTGTAATTACAAGTTAACGCACGAGTATATGAATATTATTTTTCATTTCCATTAAAAAAAAAACCTAATCGCAATAGCGTGAGATAAAGCAAATCGAAAATTATTGAATCTATATATACATATATATATTAAAACGTGACAACCTATAATTAAATAAAGAAAACAAATGATACGATCATCGACGTATTTTCGCGAAGATAATATTTTTCATCTTCGTGGTATTTTTTTTTACCGTTTATGCATATGCTAATAAAAAAGAAAAGAAAGAAAACAACATCGCTAAAAGCAAATAAGTTAATTATTTTATTGCAATAAAAATGGTACTTTAAATCTAAACTGCACCCATTCTTTCAACAACACTTAAAAGTGTGTTACGACAATATTGATTATGGTATTTAAAAGAAATTATTTTATATAATATCAAATTTATAATTAATTAATTATTAATTATATTTTATAATATATTTAAAATATAAAATATATATAAATTTATATTAATATATTATTTTATTATTTTATTTATTATTTTATTATTTATATTAATATATTAAATTAATATGTTAATATATTATTTATATTATAAAATTATATAAATATATATAATATATATAATAATATAATATATTTTATATATATTTATATATATTATTTTATAAATTTTAAATTTTAAAATTTATATATAACAAAATTATTATTAATACATTTCAGATATGTTAAAGTAACGTTTAAATATTGAAATAAATAATTTTAATAAAAGGAAAGGAATTTTAGAAATAATTTTAATAAAATAATTAATAAATAATTTAAATAAAAAAATCTTAAAAAAAAAAAAGGAAATTCAGAATTACATCGTAAATGAAATAAAAGAAAAATGTGCCCCATTTTCGCAACACCTAAAACGGTGAGAATATAATCTATGTTGTTGTTCGATTTCTCTTATGCAAAAGAATATTCTCTTTTGAATCTTTTAATCAACGATTACCACTTGGAAACGCGTCACTTTATGATTTTATGTTACGGATAATAGACACGGAAGATTACGTTTGCCGATCTCGGTGCGTTTGCCTTCGAGCAACATGTCGATGAAATCTCTACGTGAATAAGTACTTATATATACTAGTGTATGTATATGTATATAAGTACATCGACATGTACTTTAATGCGATTTCCTTGGTTAGAAAACGTTATACTAGAGTGATATCACGCCTATACTTGAAACTAAAAGATAATCTCAGCTCCTGCGGCCTCCGATCTAACTTTCAACTAAAATAAATCAACCTTACGTGTAATTTGCTCGCGCGAACGTTACGTTCTAACACAGCCATGAGCGAGACACGATTTCTTCTTCCTTTCAAAAAAAAAAAAAAAATAAAAAAAATAAAAAAATAAAAAACAAGCCTAAGGGGAAAATAATATACCAGAAATTTGGTATATCTTTTATCACGCGAAACAAAAATATTTTGTAATATAAAAATATATAAAAAAATTTTAATTTATTTTTAAAACTATTAATTTACTTATTTAAAAATTAAATATTTTGTAAAATATAAAAATATCAAAAATTATTTTATCTTTATAAGATATAAACCCACGATGATTGTTTTAACTCCATTCGTTTCTTATCTCATGTTACTAATTTACTTTTCTTTTTTTAATAATTTTTATTTTATTTTATTTTTTTAATTTGCCAATCGCAAATACGATTTCCACGAATACAATATTAAAATATACACTACGAATAACTGAAACATGCATGATACAGTTTTACTCGATTTGCGTAACGTTTTATTATAATTGTACCTATATAAGCTTGAATAGAAATCATTGATGATTGAGCAATTGGAAATGATTCGCGAGTATATTTAAACGATCGGAATAATATGTTATAAGATTATACGAAGAATGAATTACAAAATGATATTACAAAAAAGTTTCACGTTAATGTGTACCCCCGTACTCGTATAAAACGTACCCCATCGATTCGTTAAATCAAATTCCATAATATACTTTTTAAATAACGTGATATCGATACGCCAACGTCAATTACGATAGATACTCTTAATCAGAGTCATATAAGGAAAGTCGATGTATTCAAAGTACAACCCACGTGTTGGCATTAATTCAATCTAATTTCACGTTCGTAGAATCTAACAAGAAAAAAAAATTAACACAATTTTATACATATATATACATTCTTAAACTATTACTCGAACAAAATGAATGAAAAATTCATATGTTCATCATTCTTCGAATAAATAATTTAAATATTATGAATCATTTAACGCACAACAACAAAAAATCAAATCATTTTTATTTATAACTCATAAAACTTTTAATTAGATGAATTTACACATAATAAACTTCAATGTTATATACAGACAAAAGAATAATATTTAAATTATTATAATTCTATACGTAAATAAAAATGTGTCTGAGCATTCAATGATTAAATTAAATTCGAATGATAACTAAAATTAAAAAGTTAGTAATTATTCATTGTGTTTTTTTTTGTATTTTTTTTTAGGTTCAACCGGGACAAAGTAAAACCGTTGCTTATAAACAGGTATCCTACCAATATAACAAAAGCATCGATGGAAAACCAGTTGGTAAGTTATACACGTATTATTTGTAAAATTGCATCATAACTATTACTACGCATCGTATTAACAATTTATTCTATCTCGTAAACTATTGACATTTCGACTTCACTCAATACTTTTTAACGCAGAATAAAAAAAGGAATCGAATAGTGTAAAAAAAAATATAAGGTTCCATTTAAAAAAAAAAGGGCGACTGTATCTAGCGGGTGCATCTATGCATTTTCAAAAAAAGTAAAGTCATAGAAAGTTGACATTTGTTGTGCCATATAACTTTTTCCTTTATGATTTTTTTCTATTGATACTTAAAAAAAAGTTATTACCCGCCTCCGTTCCAAGAATCACCCTGTATATAATATATAATTAATAAATATATTTAATTAAT